TGAATGTTATATGGAAAAGTTGCTATAATTTGTTCAATGCTAGTCTGGGACTCTGACTCTTTATTCTAATTGTAAATTACCTTGAGTTAGCGACTTGTGAGCTCCACTCGCCAATACAAATCCTCCACTAAATAAATTTGGTGTAAACTCCAACAATTAGCCTTAAGGGTGCTGCCCGTTACATGACACTACATGGAGGTATGGCATTTTGCAGGACCTCCACTCATATGGGTTGTGTGGCCATATACCCATTTTTATTCTGAACTTTTTACTTGACAGGCAATTTTGAGTCCGTGTGGGTTCGACACTTTCCCATTCTTTCACACAGGAACTTGGAGTCCCTCAGGACTTTGTCTTGAGTGTCACACTTTTCAGTATCAAGATCAATGCTGTCACTACACAACTTCCGCCTACTGTTGGTGATGGATTCTATGTTGATGACTTCCACATCTCACGTGGGTTGTCAAACATGAGGTTTATTGAGAGGCAGCTTCAGACTGCCCTCAATTGCTTATTGAAGTGAACCACAGCAAATGGTTTTGCCATTTCTTTTTCCAAAGCCGTTTGCATGCATTTTTGCCACCAACGGGGTCTACACCCAGATCTCCAACTCTGTCTCGGTGATGTTGTTCTTTCCATGGTCCCTAGTGCAAAGATTGTTGGGGCTTATTTTTGACTGTAAACTTACTTTCATTCCTCACATGAAGCAGCTATGTGTCAAGTGTACTAGGGCACTGAACATTCTCTGTGTTCTCTCTTCCACCTTTTGGGGAGTGGATTAATGTTCTATGTCCAAGATCTATCTTGCCTTATTTGATCTAAACTAGACTATGGGTCTCTGGTCTATGGTTCTGCCAGGGCCTCAGCCTTGAAGATGCTAGACCCCACCCACCATCTGGGGCTTCAGCACTGCACTGAGGCTTTCTGCACTTCTCCAGTTCAGAGTTTGTACACTGAATCCCACAAACCTCCTCTTCACATTTGCCACTTGCAACTTTCTCTATAGTATGCTACCAAGCCTCGATCCTTACCCCAGTACCTGGGATTGTGTCTTTCCTCCTCAATGGGCTGTTCTCTTTCAGAACAAGCGGTCTACAATTCCTACCTTTGGCCTTTGTATTCAGGCATAACTGCTGAATTGATATTGATACATGATTATTTTCTAAAAGTTCTTTTAAAAATTCTTTATCTCTAGTTTAAGCACTGTTCAGTGAGTCATATAGAGTCTCTCCTAAATTTTTGGCCATGTTTAAGCTTGCTCTGATAGTCTTGGGTAAACAACTTTTTTTTCAACTTTTCAACCAACACTATAAATCTAGCCAACTAATTTGAACTGCAGCACATATTACAACCTGAAAATGAAAAATCTAAAATAGTTAGTCATTAATATTTGTATCTATTCCTTTAATAAGACCCTTATTTAACTCGGAAATACCTTGAACCAACTATTCCTTAACGAGGAATGATGCCTCTTATGTATCTTTACATGTATCTTCAGTAAAAATCTGAACTAATTCTCAGGTAACACATGACCATATACTGTCTGAGTCAGAAAAAAAATGTGCAACATCATTGCATCAACTTTTGAAAAATTGTTTTTGATATATCCATAGAAATTTTTCCAAAATAAAATTATAACTGAAATGTGGAGATTTTAAATTTGTTTTTGGTATATTGTGATTAACATTTGCTTTGGATGAAATAAGAAAAATGAAACTTTAGCCCTAATTATCAATTTTTAGCATCCTATTTGAATTTTTGGTCAGATTGTGGAAATCAATTTTCCTCCCAGAGACAGCTTGTCAGTAGATGATACAAAGACTGAAATGTGTAGAGTTACAACAATTTTCAAGCATATATTGTTAAAAGTTTCATAAATACTCTCCTGTTATTAAAATTGAGGGAGGAGCATGAAAATTAGGTGGACACCCCCCACCCCCCTATCTTGGACACCTGTGGTTGAAGCATTTCTGCTACATAGCTTATAAAAGTTTTTTTCTTTCGCTTTTTTGAATAGCACTTGTATGATAAAATGTAAAGATTCTTTTTGGAAGTTCCCATGTGCTAAACTGATGAAAATATATAAATAAAACAGATTTAAAAGAAGGGGTGAGGTTTTTTTCTAAATGGGCATAATTACCTTCTGAAGACACCTGTATTGGATACCCTTTTCTCTGTGTATCATCAATGAAAGATTGGACTTGACTACAATTAAAAGCTTTCTCTTTAGTTTAATTAAGAAATCAAATGAGCTTAAAATCTGTTAAAAGGCAGGGATATGAACAAAAAATAAAGCATGAAACAAAGAATCATAATAAAGGCCTTTATTACTCTATGTGCATTTGTACTAATTATTGAGCTACATACAAGCTAATGTATTCATCCTTTGTCTGGGTTATGAACTTAAACAATGTGGGGGTGGATGCTATGATAAATAAAAAAATCCTAACTTCACACAATTTATTTATAGCATAACATATTATTACAGTATTCATTATTGCTTCATCGAAAATTTTGTATAAGGTTTAAGAACTCGTGTGTGTGTATATATATATATGTTAATTCTTGCCTGTAGCCTGTGCTATTATGTAGGAATCATGCAAATGCCATTCCTACTATCTTGTTTGCATTGTCTTTGAAGGATTGATATTAGCCATCCCTACATTTACTTCCTTTTTTTTTGAAAATTTTTTACTTGTTTTTTATAATGCAGTGTTTCAGTACACATAGGAAGGTTGTATTTATAACCAAGTTC